CTTGTGATGTCTCGCACTTGTGATCAAATAACACGCTGGCTCGCACTTTGGCAACACTCTTTGGCAGTCAACTCGCCCCTAGAAAACCCGCCCTTGGAAACTTGCCCCATAAAAAAATGTACACTTCCTAGACTATGCAGTCTTCAAAATAAAAATTGTAACCTTTGGTAATCAACTACATTTTCCACATACATAGAAATTTTTGAAACTTTATTAAAAAAAACCTAAACCATAATTCACCACTATAAACACTTTTTGACAAAAATGAAAAATTATGACTTTGTTACCCAATGAGAAGTGTTCTAATATAGACAATGGGTCGTGTCTCATATATTTTTTGTTATATTTTTATTATTCATTATTTTCAATTGACTCGCATAAATAATTTTGTTCAAAGAACATTTATATGCAGTTGTACTTCGCAGCACTTCACTTGCAATTTGCAATTTCTAGTAACTAATATTTTTTTTAGCATTATTAAAAAAAAAATAGTATTCAAACTCACCTGATGCTTGTCCATATGGATTTGGCTTTTGAGCTCCAAATGTATTAGTGTTCGGAGTTGCTCCAAATGCATTTGACATTGGCACAGCTCCAAAAGCGTTCATGGCCTGAGAAGCACCAAACGCACTTGTTTGCTGTGTTCCAAATGCATTTGTTTGTTGTTGCACTCCAAAAGCATTCATACCTGGCTGCGTACCAAAGGCATTTGATGACGGTGGCGTCCCAAATGCACTGCTAAAATTATTTCCCTGCGTGGCGCCACCAAACTTGGAAGCATTCATACCCGGTCCTCCAACACCAACCATCGTCGGTGGTGTACTCTTCGCAGATCCTAATGAAGTACTGGATGAATTCCCACTAATACCCCAGTCGATCGACGAACTTGACGAAGTACCACCCCCTCCCCAATTAATGCTGGCGTCGGCACTGGAACTGGACTCCAGAAGACTAGATAATGCTGCATACTTGTCAGATGTAGATGATGCAGCTGGCTGTGATATGTTAAGGTTTTGAAGACCCTGGCTTGTCTGATTGATGTTTGATGGTGTGGATGAGGTGGCTGGGAATGATGCAAATCCACCCTGGTTACTACTTGTCCCTTGGCTCTGCTGCATGAATGCTGAAAAATCAAACATTAAGGCAACCATTCATTATTGTGATTTACATCTATCATGAATTTGTTGCTATGTGTTATAATGTTACAGAAGTAGTATCTTGTTGCTGTTTCAGTAAATTGTTGTATGTATGTATTTCCTTTTATTTTTCTTACTGTATCTAAATTGTATTTAGTATTCTTTCAAGTCAGCTTTCAATCAACCTCAAACTGCAAAACATGGTAAAATAAATAAATGTATTTAAATAATTAGGTGATTAGAGTACCGTATTTATTTACCGTATTTAAAACATGGTAAAATAAATAAATGTATTTAAATAATTAGGTGATTAGAGTACCGTATTTATTCGAACTAACGCACTACTTTGAATAAATACCCCTTTGTACAAACTCCCTCTCCAGAGGCACATTTAAATTAAATGCCTCGCTTGAAAAACGGCCCTTAAATAACCGAAAACAGAACTAATGGAAGAATCATTCTCAACACATTCTGTTAATATTCTACTGCAGTAGAATTACATTTTTTTTAACCTGGTTGGAAACAATATGTCCTTATGATCACATGAGTTGTAGTTCCACATTTACAGTGAAACTAATAGGCATTTACTTTAGTATACGTATCCATTTTACATCAAAAAAATAAACGCCTCCCTCGAATAAATACCACCTTCATAAACCCTTCTCAACAATAAATGCCACAGAAAATTTTATTCGAATTAATACGGTACACACATGAGAGTGTAGACAATTTTAAATTTATGTATTAATTTGCAAATGTAGATTTTGTAATATTTTGGTTGTTTTTGCAACCACTTTTCTGATGCATACTGTAATTTTCCAGGAGCAGCAATAAATGCTGGTAACTGAAGTTTTATGCTTTAGTAAATGCAAGTTAAAAGCATATCACTGCTCTGGAATTGGCATTAGTAATATGGTTTACAGAGTTATGTGAAAAGTTAAAGATGTATTGTTTCTTAAAATTAATGAAAAAAAAAAAAAATCATAAATAATAATTTTGAAACTATAGTAGCTTGCTCCTTATGCAGTAACATACAAATTATTAACCTGAGCATAGAAATTACTGAATTTCAAAAATACTACTACTACTACTACTACTACTACTGTAAAGAAAAAGACTATTAACTAATAACACTGTACTGTAAAATCATTTGGTAAACAATAGAATGATACTAAAGCCAAAATCAAACTGGACGAATGTGGACAGCAGTAAAATTTACCCATTGGAATGTTTCCCATGGTCTCAATAGAATTTCCCCCTTTTTTTTGTCCAATGTAATTGGAAAAACGAAAGAGGCAAAAGAGACAAACAAGCTGTATATACCTAATTCAGGATGTTTGTAAGGAAGCCACAATGGAGGAACTTTACCTGCTATTGCAGCATTTTGCTGTGGAGGTTGTGTTTGTTGGCTGAATCCACCACCGACTGCCTGTTGGCTTGACTGTGCACCAAATGGTTGTGTCGATTGTGTTGGCTGGGCTACAAATGGTGACGGCGTACCACCAAATGCCGCACCGAAGTCTGCAAATCCTCCTGCACTTCCACCGGCTAGTTAAAGAGAAATAAAAGTTCTCCATTATACTCATATTTTAACAGTAACATCAAGTCTCATATATTTATTTCACTTATAAACATACATTTATACATAAGCTATTCCATACTCCTCATACATTATACTTATATACAGTAACATCAAGTATCAAATGTTTATTTCACTTATAACCTTACATATTTATACATAAGCTAATACATACTTAAATATAAGCGCAGAGAAACCAAAGCAGCAGAGCCTGTGTTTGTGGACTTGGATCTTTTCTAAACTAAATAATATCTTAAAACTAAAAAAAAAAAAAAAAAAAAAAAAAAAAAAAAAAAAAAAAAAAAATATTTTGAATAAATAAAAACAAATCTAATACTGTCTTTAGTCCTTGATTGATATTTGTTGATTGCTAATTGTTCTTTTAGTTTGTATTATATTAATTTACATTTTATTCTAATCAACCACAGCTCTCTTTCCAGCACTATGGTATGCACCAAATTGGCAATTTATTTTTCAAAATGTAATGAAATTTACATGAATTCTAAATTATGCTTTGTTAGGCCATGCAAAAAACGAGAATTGGTTAGCATCGTTTGTTTTTTATTTTCACATGTAGGGAGTGAGGTCAAACCTGGAAAATGGTGTGGCATGCTATGTAGGAAAAGTAAATGTACCTGTGAATTTATATATTAAAAATTGATATTAAAACAAATGAATATACAGTATGTTTAAAATTCCTTTTCAAATAATGAAGAAACATCATTTTTACTAAGGGGCAAAGTACATAAAAACTGTTCCTGAGTTAAACACATTCACAAAAATTTGCACTGGGGTCAATTCTTCATCATAATTTTGGATTAAAAAAAAAGTAGATCGGTGAATTTTTCATTGTCGGAAGGGGATGCTTAAACAATTTCTTGTTCTATGCTACATTTTCATGAAATTACGGTATGAGTTACATTTGGTAGAGATGATGAACATTTTTTTTTTTACATGGCCTTGCATTAATGCTAGTTGGTACACGCTATGGGGTCCAAATTATGCCAAAAAGCATAATTATGCTATGAATGGCCACTATGATGGTATGGCACAATATTTTTTTTTTTCAGTATGGTGTATAGCATTAGCATACTATTCCACATGGCAAATAATAATTTGTTCAGCTGGTTAAATAGAAGTTACATTGATTAAATTGACAGCAAAAAATTATCATGGTTTATTAATTATAGATTGAAGTAGGTTTTTATACTCGGTATTTTGGTTACTTCATATATAACAAAAAAAAAAAAGAAGAAGATCCTGTTGATTTAAGGTCTACTCTATAATCGAAAAGTCTAGGTACCGCCATGCACCAACCAATCATAGCCAAGCCATCAGGAAAATACATTCAATGCCAAGACATCAGCAAATTGCAATGAATGACCTAAATGGTACATTTAAATGGCTTTGCCATCCCAAACACATCAACATATTTCCATGAAATCAGAAACATCCCTGTACTCAGAATCTGGAATTTCCCTTCGCATAGTTTAGCACTTCCTCTATGATCTACCATAACTGTTGTAACTGTTTTTTGGTATGTGGACATTGTAAAACAGAATACAAGCTTTAGATATTAGTTCTGGAGTGGATGCAAGGGGGCGGGGGCAGGGGGGGCTGCATTAGGAAAAATAATAATTGTATTATATTGACATATATATTATGTTTATCATTGAAAATATAGTACTTTAATATTATAAAAGTGTGAGAGTGCAATTTCTGTTCTGCAAATTTATTAATTATTTTCAGAAAAAAGAATATCTGTGCTTCTACTGTATATAGCCCAATTTTTTATCCTCATTTAAAGATAAATTACTGCTAAAATGACAGCAATACAGTATGTGTCAATCATGACAAAGAGAAGTTAATTGTAAAGATAAAAGTGATAACGACAATGAAATGATTGATGGTAGTGATGATGGTGATATTATTATTGGTGTAGACAAAAACTGATGTTGTTGGCGAGTCAAATGTCCGAGCGGAAAGGCAGGGCCACCACAACCTACAGCCATAATATTGGTGTTGTTTTGAGCGGTATGCTCGCCTATTTTTCTGGTGGTGGAACAAGTCTTCTCAGATAAGGACTATAAACTGTAGTCCCAGTGTATACAATTGGCTCATGTGCACTATAAGAAATCCACTACATCCAGGGGTACTGGTTTATACAGCCCCTGATATGAACTAAGTAGTTAGTACCAGTTTACCGGGTAGCTCAGTCATGAAGAGACCATTAGGGAAGACGAAAGTTACTGTACAAGCAGTCCATGCTTCCAGACTCTGGTAGGTGTAAAGTGCTACAAAATCTAAGGACATGATGATGATGATGTTGATGATGACGACAATAACGATGATGAAGATGATAATAAGTAGTTAAAAAGGAACCTTCCATTCAATGTCAGAAATTATCTATAAAAATCTGACACACCTAAAACTGTAGGCAGGAGGCCTACAAACAAACACATTAACACGCAAACTCACAAAGAAAATCCTATGTACTGTAAATATAACCTCCTTGCGGAGGTAATACAGAAAATGAATTACATGTAAATGATGATGATATTACTGAATGTTAGTAAAGATGATGATGGTGATTCTGTTGATAATGATGGTCTCACCTGAAGGAGCACTGCCAAAAGGATCACCACCTAGGTCTGCCAGCAGATCCGTTGAAGGTTTGGCTACTGGCGGTACCGGAGCCTCTGCAAGAGGAGTTGCTATACTGCCTACAGGTTTCCTATTTGGTGATGACTGCAAAGACAATTCAATTCAAATCATATTATTATTATTACTACAATTATTACCATATGAATGTATTATTATTATTATTATTATTATTACATGGAGGAATATTTGTGATGTCATTGTCAATCACACCTACTGTAGGATAACTCACTAAAGGCCGAAGAGTTGTTTCCAGTGGGTCCTTTTGCAGTAAATTGGATGACTGTATGCTGGAAGACAATCCCCCAACTCTTTCCTAAAGAGTGTGTACTTTTACATGCACATGGACCATTTATATTGCACACAGGACCAATGGATTAAACGTCTAAACAGTGTGCTATAGTAACTTATAGTTCAGTCATCCAGGGGATGAAACACAAGGATAGAAGTGGATGGAATAGAACCAGTGGCCAAAGACTTGAAAGAATCTCCATGGTTCAGCGCACACACAATAATGGCTAAAAAATGAATGAAATATTGTACAAGCTTTGCCCCAAAATGAATGAATCTGACAATCTCCACGAATGTACAATGGGATGAATTAATGCACATAAAATGAGTTATTGATGTCCATTCTACCGTATGAATGTACTGCACAGTGCCAGGTGTACAGTATACCGTATGTCCATTATCAAAATTAAAATGAATGTCTACCAAATGGAGTAATTGTTCATGGAATGAGCACTACATTAACAATATTGTAAATGAATATTCCGTGCGTGTCAATTGTTTGAATAATGTACTCGGGTATAAAAACAGCAGCAAATAATTGTATGCATAATTTGAACATGCTGCTGGCATGAACAGGTTGAGAATGTGTTGATGTGAAACCATTGGGTACAATGCAAACGGTAGGCTAACATCTGCTTACATACTGTATATGCCGTCCAAACACACAATTTTCTTGAACTCACGACTAAAACAACGTCTATTTTGGTTGAAAATCCATCCAGGAAATAGGATGATAAGATTATATATAGATAGATGATGATTTAAAAAAAAAATACATTAAAACTACAGTATTCTAATAATAAAGGCTCATGATTAGCAGTACTATGTTTACCACACTGATATAAGACGAAAAATAATAGAATCATACAAAATTGGTATCTAGCGGACTCCAAAATATTTTTCACAGGTCGACCCTTTTGACTCAATAGCGGAGCCCCAATTATACTTCATGAATACGAGGTTGGTAACCACTGTTCTAAAATGTAATTTCAATTTTTTTAAAATAAACTTCAAGTATAAAAACCCTAATATTTATATAATTATACTATTGTAATTTTTTACATTATTTTAGTTATTATTGTTATTTTTAGTTTTTATTGTTTCATTTTACAGTTACACATGATACAGTACAGTATGTTTTTATTACATCATTACCCTACTGTACTGTTGATTATAAAGTATCATAGTCAATATCAAAATAGAGCGAGGATCAATAACAGACTGAAGTAGGCTGGGTATGAGAGTAGAAACAAACTGCCTTTGGATTTTGATATTGACAAATGGTACTGTACATGGTGTATTGTGTTGTCAGACTCAAAATCAAACTACAGAAATTGCTCAGGTATTTCTTTGTCTACACTACAGAAAGAAAATTATCTGTGTTAGAAACTGCGGTATCAGCTTTGCATTCTACTAGATTTATGGAAATGTACTGCAGGCCTATAACCTTTACCTGGCTTGGTCGGCAACTACTGTAAGCCTTTATTGTAGTGCTTCTCAAACTGTGGGTCACAACCAAAATTGGGCCACCAATATTTGTCAATGGGTCGTGGAAATGATATTCAGAGTACTGTATGGCAGAAGAATAATATATTAAAAAAATTGTTTTCTTATTAATTAGCAAAGGTTCTACCTATAGCACCTACGTACAGTAAAAAAACAAAATAACATTGTAGACAAATTAAAAGTATGAGTGCAAATTTTTTAATTTTAAAAGTAGTAGAGGGCGCCCTTAGGCCCTCGACTCAAGACTTGTAATACATGTAGAAAGCTATCATTGAGATTCAAACAGCAAAGAATTTAATTGATGCCAGAAATCCCATGTCTCCCGAAAATCCTAGTTACCCACTAGGATTTTCTAAATAAATTATAATAATATTAATATTTATAAATTTATATTTTAGGCAAACTCCAATGTGTAAACAAATGTAAAATTGTTAAATAAAAGTATACAAATTGATGAAAACAGTTTGTTTCCTTCTTTTTGTGTAACACTTTCATGTTGCGCAGTGCGTTGTAAGGTGTCACAGTGCATCGCTACAGGAGGCGATCGCTTCACAAAAATAAAATCTCCCGCGATTTTCGGGCAACATGGGATCTTTTAAAAATGTTTTCAAGCAATAGGGCACAATTACAGTACATGACCAATACTACATGTACTGTATGTAAAAATTCATAACCAGCAGGTGTTTGGAATATTCAAGTTCGCTAATAATAATATAATTAAAAACGAATTTGATGATGTCATTGTCACAGACGTACGGATGCAGATGCATGAGCAATTGCTATTGCTTTACAGCATAGAAACCAAAAAAGTTGTGCCTTTGTGGCTTAGAAATAGGACGTTCCTAGTGTTTGAATAAAATGTCTAGGTTAACAGACCTGCTTTGTGTTTAACAATTGATTGTGTACAGGTACATTGAGTTCATTCAATTGTAGTGGGGCAGCAAGCTTGTGTACACTACCTACCATGTTGTGCCATGTTTCAATGTAAGCTGGACACCATTGCACCTGTCTCAAGGGCAAACAGTGTAGTTAAGTCTCACACTATCAGTCTGAAGCATTGTTCTGTGTAATCCTAATCCAACAGATACTGCGAGTTAGAAGATCCACTGGGATTAAATTTTCCAATTTTTAAAATTCTTTTAGGGTTATTCATGAGTAACAACTCTACAAATAGTTTGATTATGAGCATTATGGATAATTATAATAATAAATCCATTTATCACTCAACTCCTAAACACATTTCTCAACTTATTATTAAAATCTCGCTCCTCAACATGCACTCGTACCATTAACATCTCATTTCACTACTCTTGATTGACCACCCTATAAAAGCTATGTGGGCAGATTCATTCATGGTTGCTGCGCCTAAATTAAGGAATTACAGTTACTGTATCTATTTGTGAGTTGCCATGCGTCTCTTTGTTTCAATCGCATTCAAAAACTCGCTTGTTTTCTCTTTGATTTCCTTTTTTTCCCATTCCTTGACAGCTGGCTTTTTTCTAGTTCTACCAGAATAGGAGGCGTTTGAGTCCTGGGATGGCCAAGACTCAACTGGTGCTGGACAGAGTACATTTTAAAAGATCCCTGGTCAATGACGAAGGTGTACAGTATCCCATTACAGGGGTTTGAGTTTTTCTTTTGCTTGTTTTTCCAATTACACCTGTTCACTTGTTTATGTGCATTGAGACCCTCATATTTTACCCTTTATTTTAACCTTTTAAGTTCAACTTCAACAAGTGTAAGACAATACACTAATATGGTATAACTTATTTTTATAAAGGTTTTTGCTTTTTTGCTAAGATAGAAGAACTTTTTTGACCTATCGTTATCTTTATTTTATATTTTTAGTATTTATTATTTTTAGAATTTAGTGCTTATTTTCGCTCATCGCAGATGAAACAGTACAGAGTGCAACATAGCTGAAGTCACCATACCATGTGAAACTCTTTTGTTACCATGCAAATAACGATGCGATGGTCAATGCACTCACAGCCAAGGCAAAAATGAAGGTAAAAAGTCATCAAATTAAAGTTTGAAATCATGAAACGAATGAAAACTCACAGAACTCTGGCTTGGCCATGAACACATTGACCGCATCGGTAGTTGCATGGTAATAAAATAGTGTCACGTGGTATCATGACGTCAAAGTGTTGCACTTATAACAGGACAGAAGAATTTGGAATAGAGGGGAGCCCAAGGAGGGACTTTCGCAGATGGTGGGGGGAATGTAGACCACCATGGTTGGGGCTGAGGTAAGAAAATTATGATTATAGCACCTTTAGATGGCCAGAAATATGACTTTCAAACTTTTAAATATTATTTTTTTTTCCATTTCTTTTCTTAATTTAGAAAAAAATTAGGAGGGGGGAGGGGGGTTTTGACTCCACCACTGCCATTAAATATCACCCTGAGTGACTCACCAGGGGCGTACGGTGAAAAATCTGAACTCGGAGCAATTTAGCGAAGCTTTCAGAATTCGCGGGGTGCGTTATTTGTGAGTGAAGCGAGCAACTAGGCTGGGGCTAGATGGCCGCAAAAGGGGAAAAATTTACGTTTTTACGTTCTAGTGCATTAAGTTCAATACCAAGTCTGACAAACAAAATAGGCCTAATTGTAAACGTAGTTTTTGGGCAACACCAAACTATATTCACTCAATATACCACCATCCTATTGGATTGCGGAACTCCTGAATACGGGCCTGTGAGCATTTCAGATTAAAGAATTAAAAAAAAAAAAGGGGTTTTTTTTTCTTTTTCGTGGGATCGTCCCACTTTTAATTAAACCATAAATAAAGTTATAAATGTATATACTGTATTGAAAAATAAACAATGATATAGGGAACATATAATTACTTAAAGTAACATTTTGTATGTGTTTATTTCTTAACGTTTTCCTTTAAATTTTATATTTTAATATACCGTATTTCTTTAACTTAGTTTTTCTTCATCGTTTTCCTTTCAATTTTATATTTTAATATATTTCTTTAAAACTTAGTTTTTCTTCATCGTTTTTCTCAATAACTAATACTTAAACTACGCTTTTAATACTAAAGGTAATTTAACTTACCTAATATTTACATAAAAAAATAAATAGCTCTTTATTTAAAGATCAAATTGTTATCATTAATTTTCCGATGCGTCCTCCATGCATCGTTTTGCGTCTTCTCTGAGTTCCTTTTCTTTTATTTTTCTTCTTCTCTCTTTATTTTGGCATTTTTATATTCCGAAAAAATAATCTACAGTATTCAACTACCTCATGAGAAAATTTTGCTCTCATCAAATAATTACATTTCCTTCGGTTTTGCGTTGCGCGCGAATAGATTATTTTGCTGCACGGAAAACACGCAGCTACAGATAACAATAATGGCAGAGTGCAATGATGCGTAACCACATAACACAACTCCACTGGCGCGCGGTCTTCGAGATATCAAGTTGATTAAAAATGTGTAACTTTATATGGATTGTTTAAAAAAAAGACAAAAAATCAAAATATTAAAAGGAAGGGCCACCAAACATTTTTTAGGCGAAGGATAATTTATTTTGATATTAACTACCTTCATGTTAGACGCAGTTTATTTATGCTAGATTAAAAAAAAAAATCATATTTAAAAAAGGGCACTTTCTTTAAAAGGGGGGTCGACCGCACCCATCGACCCCCCCACGGTACGCCCCTGCTCACCTTATTCTGTCTACCCACTACTAACTTTGGTGGTTCTGAGATGAGTGATTTCAACGGTTTAGGTTCTGGAAAACGACTGGATGCTTCTGCCGCTTCTTTTTCTTTTTGTTTTTGTTCTTTTGCTTTCTGATTGGCTACTGCAGCTGCCTGACTAGGTTCTACGTACCAGCGTTTGCGCTCATATTTTTGAATCATAAAATCTTTGACTTTCTGTTCCTCTTTTGATTCCGGTTCCGCTCTGGATTTTGAATCGTATAAACCAAGCCATATTTGCCTGCACACCTGCAAAAATAAACAAGGAAGCAAAACAAATAAATTGATTATTTTTTTTATCATTTGACAAATTCAAACGTTTATTTGAGAGATACAGTGAAAATTAAGGCAAATATTAGAGACCACAGGTCTCTCTCGAATTACAGTAAAGACCCCTCTAATTGAAGACTCCTCCAATTAAAGACCCCTTAACTTAAAGAACCCCCAAATTAAAGGCAACCTCCAATTTAAGACCACTTTTCTGTGATGCAAATAAACAAATGCCTTTTTACTGTATTATTCTGATTAGAGACCACAGGTCTCTCTCGAATTACAGTAAAGATCCCTCTAATTGAAGAATCCTCCAATTAAGGACTCTTCCAATTAAAGACCCCCCAAATTAAAGGCAACCTCCAATTTAAGACCATTTTTCTGTGATGCAAATAAACAAATGCCTTTTTACTGTATTATTCTACAGAAATTAGAGACCAAAGCTGCTAAAGACCATTGAAATCCCAGTCCCAAAAAGTGATCTTTAAAGATGTACTGTCCCTTGAAAATGACCAAAATCATAACAAATCATTTTTTAATTAACTTGAAGTGACTGGAAGTGTTTCTATCATTTTTTCACTGTAAAATGATGGTTTTTATGGGTAAGCATTTTTTAAATACACTAATTTCTATGTTCAAGTTGATAATTTTTATATTAATTCAAAATGGGTTAAGTAAATTTCAAAAATGATTTTTATGATTTTTTTTTTTTTTTTTTTTTGCAAGGGACAGTACATCTTTAATTAGAGAGAGACCTGTAGTTCTGTAAGATTTAGAATTACACAATTTCAAAAATAGTAAAATATATAAAATAGAATAAAAAAAAATAAATAAAACAAGTATTTTCTGTTCATAACAAAAAGCTTCAAATTTCAAGGATTCGTCTATCACTGATAAAACACTTAATATATTTATAAGTAAGGACCAGCAGAATAAATGTTTAATACAGTAAATTCACACATTTTAAATATTAAAATTTGAAAGTTCCTTGTAATAGTAATTTAAGTCCTAACCAGCAAGTTAATTTACAAATTTTATAATCGGAGATCACCTGTTGTTACAATTGCCAAAATTTTAAGTTGCAGGCTGTTATTTTTTTTTTCATATTTTTTTTTTTTTTTTTTTTTTGTATTACTGTATAGGCCTATTGCTTTCGTATTTTAATATGTAAGACTACAGTTTCAGCCTTTGGCTGCTTGTTAGTCAATTTGATTGAATAAAGTATACAGTACCTGAATATAATCTAAATAAATTTGAAAAAGGTGAGGGTGTTGATTACAGTAGTTATGTATTCTGATCATTACAGCATTGATATAATTTCATAGTCTCTATGCTGATAACTTGGCAACAATCCAATCAAAAATACTAAGGCTACTCTGCCTACAAAGTCGTTTCGGCCACACAATTAAATGTAGGATTTTTACAGCACAGGAATCATCAGATATTTCTATTATTATTGCCATACTACATACTACTATTTATTTCCATTGTAAACTTTTTAAATTAAGTTAGTACTGTATAATGTTTTATACATTGCACATCTGCAGCTCATAATCATGATCATTATGATTATTTGTGTAGATAAACTATTTAGGAGCGGTTCATTTAATTAAGTATTTCCTGGTGTTAATTTGCCTATTTTCCCCTCTTCATAGTTCCTATATAGTAAAGTTTATTTATGTCCAAGGAATGGCTACCCTGTTTTTACAAATTATGTTTTTACATAATTGTTCTTGATTCTTCCTAAACATACCGTCACTTCCTAAACACACCATTGATGTGATGTGTCCTGCTCTTAAAAAAAAAAGTTTTCTAAATAAATATTATTATTATACAGTTGCTGAGCATTGTTGTTAATTTTTGTTATTTACATTTTGTTGTGTTTGCTGAACCAGATCTATCAATTATTCATGCATTACATTTTGCCAAGAATACACAAATCATTAACTACGGAAAAGCGAGAGTGCTCTCAGAGCATCTACTGTACAGTACTTGAACAGGTGGAATAACAGACAGCTCTGGATTCTGTGATGTGTCAAACGTGTGATTCGTGGGTAGCAGAGGGCACTTAAGAAATAATAATATCTTTCTAGTATTAAGGACCTTGTCTGGGACTTACCTCATTTCCATGATTCTGTAAGAATTCTATTTCTTCTGGAGAGTAACTTGCCATTGATATTGACTTGACACGATGTGGCGGATTAATACCTCGTCTGAAATAAGATTTAAAATAATTAAACTTACCATATTTATTCGAATAAACGACTTGTTGAGAAGGGTTTTTGATGGTTATTTACTCGGGGGAGGCGTATTGGTCTGTAAAATCACCCAAAATAGGCAATTTAAAACTCACCTACCTCAAATTTGCCCACATTTGGTTTTCAGGGTATTTTAGGGTATAAAAGCCCAAATTTTAAATTTCAGCCCTGTCCAACCAATGTTTTTCGAGCTGAGCACCGTTCTTTTACATCAATTTCTGAATTAGCACAACAGACAATTAATGACCATATCTCAGTACAGTAACTTGTGGACCAATTAGGTTGATATGTCTCTGAAAAGGGAATTACATTAACTATCCAAATCATGCATTTTTTTTGCATATTAGACTCCATTAAAATATTGATTACTTATTTTATTTGCTTTGACCTTGTGGATAGCGTGATCTGGAGATGAGCTTTAGTAGCAATTTTACCCACACATACCATCATGAAACCTCTATACGAATTCTTAATTTTCTTCCTCACCAATAAGCATTAACAATTGGATACTAAAAATGTCTACACTACACTGTAAAGTCATTATTCTTTATAATCACGCAATATGATCTACCTATTAACATGCCCTTTAAAGTTTATTATATTATATTTTTACACATTTTGTCAATAACAACATTTTTGCCCTTTCTAGATGCCTTCAGCCATAACTATTTTTCCATCTAAAACATGATGGAAGATCTGATGATCTTTAAAAAAATATGTTAAAACAAAAGGAAATTTACAAATACAAAATACAAAATTCTTTATTGTCAATATCCATACATAACAGAACAACAAATTTAAAGAAAGACAAAAAGTGAACCTTCATGAAATAAAAAGTTTCCACTTAAAACTTCATGACTGTGTGTGGTTTCTCTGTACTTGGAATAAGAAACGACAAGCTACCCTGTATATTAAAGCAAAAAGGAAAAGACAATATCACTGATTCACTTTGATCTTCCTCCTAAATAATGTCAAGGGTCTTGTAAAATTGCCAACAAGTGGCTGTGGTGGTATCTGTTGTTAGGTAAAGGGATTACTATTACTTTAAATTTAACAATGGGTAGTACACCATTGCAGAATAAAACTGAATCATTCTGTATACCGGTATACCATTACAGCTAGAGATTCGTTCATCCACATGGCATTAATTTACTGTATTATTTTTATAAATGCATGCTGTACATAGCTTGTGTATTTTCATTCTCATGTAATAATATATGTTGAAAATTTCCCACATGAATAAATTATACACGCGGTACTGGGTAAAGACAACTTGATTTCTTGCTTCGAAAAAGGTGTCCATTTGTAGAAGTTTTATGAAGTAAGCCTATCCAAAAATGATGTTAAAGGGTCGGGACCAGGAGATATACAGTACCTCTGACTTTAAATTGACGAAGACAGAAAAATGTTAAATACAGAACATACATAATAGGCTTTAAAACATTTAAAAATATACGACGTAATTTTAAAATAAGCTTAATGAATGTATAATGTAAATAATCATGTTAATTATGAATAAAAAAAACGTAAAATATAAAAGAATAAATAAAGGAAGAATAGGATAGAAACTTGGAGCAGCAGAAATATTTTCCAAAAATAAACAATAATAACCATTATGTCATTAACTGCTTCAAATTTTTGTAGCTGATTTTGGACACTATTCATCAGAGGTCAAGGTGTCAAGCCTAGCCTACATGTTTCCTAATTCGACATCGAATCCTGATTTATCAATATTACTTTGATTTCAAGATTGACAGATAGCTTAGGATGGTATTAGCCTGACCTACTGAAGGATCATAATAAATTTAGGGCCTGTTTTTACTGGAAAGAAATAATCGATTAAAAATCGCTTTTTCGAAAATTCGCTTTTATTCTCGCAGTAGAAACGGGACTAGTTTGAAAAAAGCGATTAAAAAAAATTGATTAAAAACACGCATGTTTGAATGGCAAATAACCGATTTTGGCTGTGCACCTTTTAGCTGCAACACAAAAAAAGCGATTATCAGGTGAAATGTGACCTCCAGGTCAATCACTCAAAGACTATATATCGTATTAGGCGCGAACTTTAAAAAAAATTGTCCTCTTGTTCATATCCTAGGCCTACAAGCTAAAAACGCCAACAAAAATGAGGAGTGACGAATTCGTTTTGTAATTATTTTGTGGGGTGGTGGGGGGGATATTGGGCCTAGGACTCTCCACTTTTTTGGACCTACCGTTGTCCTCGTTTGGTCGTCGTTCATAATTGTGCAGATGAGCACAGCCGAAAACATTTGCCTTCTCGCCCAACATTGTATCTTACTCCTCGTCATCATGACAGGAATGAGAAAGATACTATCCTACAGTATATAGTTCGGAAAACAATGTGTTGTAACAGAATGGTGACATAATTTCTGTCACAAAAACCGATTTTCGAAAAATAAAAAATGCACTTGCAACGCCAGCAGGCTGTCTGGTACTCATTAAAAAAAAAGTTTTAAAAAATCGATTATTTTGTGTTTATCAGTAGAAACACACCCTTAGAATCATTTGATCGCATGATCAATTCAAATGATACTATTACTACAGTGCCTTTATAAAAACTGAAAAAAACCTGAAAAAGTTCATAAAAAGGATTAAGTAAATTTTTAATTTGGAATGAAAAACAGATTAACACTAAGTTTATAGACGTTCATTAAACTACAAACAATAAAAATTGATGATCGGCCAATTTTTAAAACTTTGGCAACATTCAAAAACACTTTTTGGGAAGGAAGGGAGAAGCTGACTTAAAAAGAGTTAATATTGTGATTGATTCATTTGCTTAACCTACCCCGACCATTTCTACTATATTCTTAAAATTAAGGTCCAAAAAATAAACCCTGATCTGTGAATTTTTATACATTTCATGGATTCTACAGTATTGTGTACATGGTTGAATTCTTCCGGAATACATGGAACAAATCCATAATGGCCACCTGGAGAGCAAGTCACATGGCATATTGTCAGCTGAACTATTGTACTAATATTCACAAGATAGCAAACAAATACAGTACAGTGAAATAGCTAAACAGTTAATTACAGGCTATAACCTACATGTTATACTGTAAATGCTACAGTGATCATAATCTGAGGCAATACAGGTTAAAGTTCAAATTGTTTATGAACAAAAAAAAATTAAAGTTGTGGAGAATAATGAATAACAAATTATAAATCAGTCAAAATTAGTGGTCCTCTCAGAAATAAATTACAGTTGAAATACATTTGCTCTTCATGAACAAAAATACAATAAAATAACCACTTGCTAATCCTGTCTGTTCACATTCACCTGAAGAAGTGCACTGTGTGCACGAAAGCTTGTGTACTGTCATAAATAAACTAGTCATAAAAGTACTGAATATCCTGAGTTTTATTTCCTGTCTGTTTATTTACAGTTACGTTGAATTTTGCATAACATGTAATGTGCAGTAATATGTGATACAGTTTAAAAAAACCGAGGAATTACTCCCTTGATAATACGGCCGTGCTACGAACATTTTGTTCAATCTTCAATGTTTAATTTGTTTCCAATAAAATCAATTCAGAGTTTACTCACAATTAGATTAACAGATGACAGTTAAATATGAAGATAAATATGTAAATCATGTTTCTGGTTCAGGGTTGTATTTATAATCCATAAATAACATGCATCTGTCAAGATGCAATAATTAGTAGAGCATTTTTCGCTAATAATAATACACTTGTCAGTAATGATCTAAAAAGAAAGTCCTAGTGTGTTATTACTTGTTTTAATTTTAGTAGAAAAAACTTAAATAGAAATATATTTAAATGTAAATTTAAAGCAATTCAACTTAAAAAAAAAAATTAGGTGATATTATCAGCTTCCAAGAATTTTTACAGTTTCCCCCAGAATTTTCATTTGGAATAAAGAAAAAAATATTAAACAACATTTTTCTCTTTCAAATATTAGATTACAATTTAAACAAATCCATGCCTTTGCATCACACATACAGTAAGAAAGACTTGTTTTGCCTATTATTTGCCAAGTTTACAAAATGTGGACTACTACTATTTCAGTTAAATATTTTTAATGAATTTTGGTATCTGTGTGACATGCACTGATGTAACATTGTACAGTACCGTATACGGTTATTCGAGAGGGGCGGTTATTTGAGAGGGGCGCTTATTCGCATGAGTACGGTATAGTAATAAACCTAAAAAGCATGCCCAGAAATTTCACTTCAATATGACAAATTACTCAGAAATTTCATTTTACCAACTTGGGACCTCTGCACCCCGCATCCGTTCCATGGCAAAACAACGTAACTTGAAATTTTTACTTTTGAAGAAAAACTGAGTTAAGTTTGGATGTTTGCAACTTAGTAATAAATTGTCGTACCGTTTTGAAATTTTTCAGAATTGTATATCTGTTATATATTGTAATTATGTAAAATTTTAATTACAACCATTTGTTTATTGGAAAGTTATTAGCGATATTCACAGATACGTGTCGTTATTATGCCTCGGAAACATGTTAGACTCTGTGTTGTTGCAAATGGGACAAATTTTTGGAATTTATCACGTTGGGAGGGGGGGGGGCAATCATATGCATTATTTAGCTTGATAATATGTTGCTGTTAAGATCATTGATATGGAAACACCAATTTAACCAGTTGATTTCGCCTTGCCAAACTCCATTAGATCAAATCAATTTTTGAATACCATTCATCGTAGATACGTTGTTTTGCCCCGTAATCTTGTAGATGTTACGTTGTTTTACCACGGAAAAACACTAAATTTTAAGTTTTGTGCTTAAAGATAAGTAGTGCTATCTCCAAAACGACTCATTGTTGAGACCTATAATTCAGACGTGTTTAATATACTCCCAAATGACATTATCTCAAAATCGACAAAAATGTCAGTTACGTTGTTTTGCCTCGCGACGGCCGCCCTGACACTGAATTTGAATTAAATTTTGAAGATATACAGTACAGTAGTACCATACACTAGCCCCTTACACTATGTTGATCTGAACATTGAGGAATTATTTTAAAAACCAAATTCCTCCTTGGTCTGAACAAGCCTACTACTGTACTATACAGTGAAGGCTTTTACTTCACTACAGTACAGTATGTATGATCAGAGACAAACTCTACATATAATGTAAATAAAGGACAGTAGATTATTGATGTAGGCCTACCAATACCATCACTCTACTGTACACTACAGTAAATACACAGATGCTTTAAAGATAGTAACTTTACTATTTACTATACTCAGGACTGTGACAGAAAGGCAAGGACAAGATAACTTTCACTGAGGAAATCCTTTCCAGCTGGAATACTGTACTACCTCGTTCCGCAAACATTTTGAGACCATGACAAAAATTATATGTCAAGTACTCAGAAGCGACCCATTGAACCCTACAGTAAGTCAATAAATCATGTCCGTTGTTTTATACGCACGAGGGATAGCAGGTATTAGAAAACAGGCCTACCACCCACTTGACTCTTTTGGCAAAAGATACTATCACCCACAAAATAAATTTAATACCCCTAAAAATTAAAATATAACTTTGATTTACTCATTTAACAAAACTACGCAAGTTAACAAATTTTGAAATCATTAAAGATTTGTAAAAATTAAATACTTACAGACATTAACTATACATAAAATTCTAGATTTGCTGTCAGAAATTTATGGGTTATGGGAAAACAAAGACACATTAAATTGAAACATTTTCAGCTGAAAGCCAAACACACTGAAATGAACAAAACAAACACTTTCAGGTTGTCATACTGTACTGACGCACATGCAACACTTTAATTGTTTCGTTTACTGTAATTTGATTTCTTTTTTTGTCCTGGTTCGTATGAAAAGCTGGTTATGCGACCCATCAAGTTTTCTGCGTCCCAAACAATGGGTCGCAACCTACAGTATAAGTTGCACAACGGTGCTGTACTGCATTACTTTACATCAAGGAAACATTTTGGTATTGAGTAGTGTTACTAGGCCTACTGTACCATATAACAAACTGTAGCAATTTTTGTATCTCCTCCTAAATAAAGGGACTTGTACAATCCTGCAGATCGACAAGTTGAACTTTTATAAATGCCCTAAATATGTAAATTCTGCTCCTTAGTAGAACATGATTTTTTTCTCTCAGCCAAAAATGTGTTTATTACTATGTGATTACATATTATTTAACACTTTTCCAACAGTAAATCTTTATTTTAATATTGTTGATATATGTGTTGATTACGTGTGTTTTTTTTTTTGTCAGACAAATATGGTTATAATACAGTTACTACACATAATTTATGACAATAATACTGTAATTTTTTACCTACCTGTACTTTTTTTTAAAATTAAATATATCTAGGACTACGTATACAGTAGGCCTATCTTATAATATCACCTAATTATATTTTTAAAAAGTTGAATTGCTTATTTACTTTTAAATATATTTCCATTTATTTTTTTTTGTACTAAAATTAGAACAAGTACCACACTAGAACTGTCACACGTTTTACTTATTTTTGTAATTAACTATTAAACTTTGTAGGCCCTACAGTATGCTATGGGTGTGTTTACTTACACTTATTATAAATACAATGTCACACAATCTGCCCTAGGCCTGGATTGGGCCACAGTGTGTATTGTGTTTTGGTGTAGCTTTTTACAAATTAATAAAGACATATAATATTTCTAATTTAAGCCAAAATAAACCTAGGTCTAACGGTATGGTCTGCAGAGGGCCGAGACGAACAGACACAGCAGCTTAGGCCTTGGGCCTAGGCCTAGAGGCTAGCACTGCAGCACAGAAAATGGTTGTTTATTTACTTTTAGTTTCAATGAAAATCTGGCAAATTAAAGCAAACAAATTCATTCAACTTTATAATGGCGTGATAAATGTATTCATACAATTAAGTTAAACGTAGAAATTCAAATAAAGAAGTAAATTCGACAGTATTGGCGGAATCAATATAAAGTAGGCGTTGCGAAATGTTGGGAGTGGTCAACCATGGCAATGGGCCTCACCCGCACATTCCGTCCAGAAACATCTTACGAACCCACCGAGCACAGGCTAAGAATTAATACTACTACTTACAGAATTCCACTACATGATGTACAAACAAATGATCCTATTTTCATATTCACATAGGTTGGCCCCCTTTGATGACAATCAAAACATGTTTTATTGTGCTCCTTGGCCACCATTTCGCGAAGAATTTTGAGATGTTTATCATCTTGCTTCCGTTTGGACGCCATTTTGTTACAAGAACCTTGGTCATGATGAGTTTCAAATAAAATTAAGATCAAGCAGTAAAACATCAGTCTTGTGTACTTAAAAAGATTGACAAATAATAAATTACTAAATAAATTTTATTTATTTGTTTGCTGATATTTGCTAGGCTTATGTGAAATTAATAGAAACTCGGTCGATGCAACATTTTATATATTTTGTGAAAGCCAGAGCGCCATCTACAAAATAATAATAAATAAACTTTTTGCGGGTCGGATCTTTGTTGTTATTTCCACGTTTATCTTTGACTAATGTTTGATTTAGGTCAATGATTAGGCCTATCCACAATTAACGTAATGTATATATACTTGGCAATGGCGTTTCTTTACTTAGTACAAGATGCTAAAGGGTGAGACATGATGTAATATAATGCCTAGCCTAGGCCTATGCCCGGTACTGTTAGTTAGGGCTAGGCGGTAGGCTTAGCCTTGGCTAGGCGGTAGGCCTAGCCTAGCTAGGGCTAAGCCTAGGTTATACCTTGGTAGGCCTAGAAGATAGTCACTTCTTGTAAATTTTTTTTATATGAGATAGGATTTAATATGAATCTGAGTCTTTTCGGCGCTAGGCCCTAACTAAGTCGATTTATTCGGCCCGGGTCAGTTTGACCTTTTTTTCGGGCCAAAACGAACCAGGCAAAAAGGAGGAAAAAACTAAAACGACTTGAGGTGCAGAAATTTCCGTGTAAACTGGCTGGACTCAGTTTTGCTATTTTATGCACTACTACAAGATGTCGGTAAAATATCAATACATACAGTAGTAGTAGTAGTAGTACTGTAATTTAAATTATTATTAGGCCTAGGCCACGAGAATGAAAGTTGTAGATTTGCGTCCGAAAAATTTTGAAAACACATGAGGCATTTTTTCATTATTCATTATTTTTTTTATAAATGCTGTCCACAAGCCGCGGCATTGGTAATTTTACATTTATTCCCAAGAAACAATGCTTACAGTCATAAATGTACACTAGCCTATAAAACAGATCCTTTTCTACATTTAAGCAGGGAGTTGTTAATTAGATGGAGTAACATCAAAATTGTCTCTTTTGATCAGTCTTCTTTGCCGACAAGATAAGAAAACCGCAGCGCGATAACGAAAATCGGGAATAAACAGTAATTAAGAAATAAACGCATGCGCAATGAACGGTTTTGCCAGACTACTGACATGTAATGCTTGAGTGACCTCATAACAAAACACGCATTTCTGGGGACGGGTAAAGCGAGAGAGACGCTTATTCTGCTTGTATCATTTAAAAACGGTAGACGTGAGTTAGGCCTACGTACAATGGACGATTTTTATACCGATGCGGATTTCGATGATCTTGATTTTGAAGATTTAGAAGATGTGTCCATCAACGAAATTGAGCCCATCTATTGCCCCTGTGGTAAAGACACAAACGAACAAATGATTGGATGGAGGGAAAGGATTGCCCAAACGAGTGGTTTCATTTTGAATGCGTGGGGTTGACAGCCGATACTATCCCCGAAAACAAGTGGTTTTGCGTGCATTGTTCATCAGCAGGACAGAAGCCTAACAAGAAGCGGCCTAGGCCTAGGTGCAATATTGATGAAACAGGTTTGTAAACTTTGTGAAAATTGTTCTATCTTTAATGAAAATAAACGAAATGTAAACAACAGCATGTGAAATTTTACTTCTTAGCTGCGAAATAAATTTGTTTACAAAATTTGATTGTTTTTATTTTTTAAATTATTTATGATTGCCTATTTAAAATAATAATTATTTGTATTTCAAGTTAGCTTAATTTAAAAACAATAAGTTTATTTTAAATTAACAAGTCTTGTTTTTTCACTCAATTAAATTATTTGATTGCCTATTTAAAATAATAATTATTTGTATTTCAAGTTAGCTTAATTTAAAAATAATAAGTTTATTTTAAATTAACAAGTCTTGTTTTTTCACTCAAAATTGTTGTACAGATACTACATGCAAAAAGGGTATGAAGACAACTACAGAGCAAGCTACAAAAGTCAAAGATAAAATAACAGGTATTTTATTTCATTTTAATATTTAAAAAATATATATATGTAAATATCAATTACCTATTTTTAGTAATTAAATACATCACTTTCTTTTATTTACATCTAATAATTGAAAGGCACAGAAAATAGAAACGTGATAAATTGTGTGGATGGCTTCATAAAATCAATAAAATTTTGCATTTTACAAGGGAGTTGCCCTTACCAGTGAGAATGAAACAACCATTTGATTGACATGGATGGTTTGCAACGTGTACAAAGTTTTTGAACAAAAAGCAAGTAGATCAATTGTCTGAAATTAAAATGAACAATTAACCATTATACAATACAATAGGCTATTTGAAGTAACACTAACATTATTCTATTATAGAAACCAAAAAGTGCAAGAGACCAACTGCTACTTATTCCATAGAAGATGCCCGGAAAAAAATTCCAGAGTTATTCGTCGCTGCACTCAAATCTCTGCAAGTTCATCCAGTTTATAATGGACCATTTGAACAGGCTAAATCCATGCAGAATCTTGTTTTGTACTTATTGGATCAAAGTAAAACAAATGTTGAACATTTTTTATTTACACTTACCGATGCTCTTTGGTCTGCTGTGTCTTCAGCAGATAATATGTTTCTTGGGGCAGAGGCTTATGAACTAGTCAATGCTAACATTCATAAAATAATGTTTCTCTTACATGTTCGAGAGTCTTGGTTTCATTTAATTAATTCTATAGATGGCGAAAACAATGTACATTCTATTGCATTTGCATATTTAGTTAGAGATATTGCCAAAAACCTTATTATATTACGAAATAATGTAGATAAGCCAAATATATGTAAAAAAGTACAAGCAGATGCTATGACCAACGAAGAGGAGCAGGTACTCCGTTATGTTTCAGGTTATGTCCCTTTTGCGTTACAAAAAAGGTACAAAAACACTCGCTCAGATGATTTGTGTAAAATAATTCAAACATGGATTATAGGTAGTGAGGTAAATGAAACTGATAATTTTTTATCTTATTCACAACAGTGGATAAACAAACAGAACAGAGGGGGCTTATTTGTTGTCAATGATGATGTGTATACATTTTTTAGGTCAATGGAATTCATTTTTAGAGAGAATGTAAACAGTGAACAACTTGTAACATACAAAGAGGAAAGCTTAAAGAACACAGTTTTAAAAAAAGTTATAGAATCTGACAACGTCAACAAACTGTGGGATAAATTATTGCACAACTCATTATCAGTTAAAGCATCAGCAAAATTTTTAAGCACTGTAGTACAGTACTATATTAAAATACGTTGCAGGGCTTTCATTAATGTATACCTTCAAATTAGAAAGAAAAATGACAATGCAATCTCACGTAAGAAAGAGAAAAGCCTCCGCAAGGAACTAGCTAAGTAATGTAAATATACTGTTAAAGTCAATAAAGTTGATTGCAAAAAACTATGTCGAGATTTGTGTTCAGTTTATCTCCAACGTTTAGGTAATGGGGTATCGTCTAGTGTTTTTTCCGAAAACGAAATACGCTATATAAAAACTAAATATATGAATATGTAAGAAACTGTAAGAAAAACTGACAACAACGAGACGATTCAGGCCTAAACGTTTGAAACGATGCTCTTTATTACAAAATGGAGAAACATGCGGAAAATATAAAAATAAGGCTTTAAACTTACCATAAATATACGGAAATCGCAAAATACGTCCTACGAACAAACAGATTAGCCTTAACTTTGAGGCTTCGTATCTTTACAACGAAAAATCGGAAATTTAAACGGTTTTTTGTAGAATATATATTGGAAAAAAATCTATCGATGTACACTCGTTCAAAAAAACGAGAAAGAATTGAAAGCTGCGCATGTCTATAATCGTAATTCGTCACAAAAATGATCGAATTTATTTCCTCTACACGAACAATTTCGGACGGGTGAGGGCTCGACTTTGTCGGCAAAGTACCCTATGGACAAAGCACCGTTAATTAGTTACGGTCAATTGCATTTCCCTTTGAAGTTGTAGCTCGCCGCTTATCGCTCATTGGCTGAAGATAATAAGACAATTTTGATGTTACTCCATCTAATTAACAACTCCCTGATTTAAGACCTCTTTAAACATACGAGTTCCTATTGGTCAGAAAGATCGATTTGACTCGTAAATGACCTCAACAGTGATTGGCGATCATGGTGCGATGTGCCTTCGCTCTGTGTTCTCGCGACGAGTGATCAGTGATGAATAGATCGTTTTTCTGTCTGTTTACGACTTAGAAATTCTGTTTTTTAAAACGAACTATATTTTTTTTCAAAATAATGAAAATTTTCGTGCGGTAGCTTTTTAGGCATGCGGGCGGTGGACGCAAATCTACAACTTTCATTCCCATGGCCTTATGTGCAAAGCTTGGCAAGGCCCAATTCCATAAAATTATTAAAATGATCAACCAAAAGGTGAAAAATTTAAATGTGGCAATCAACAACGTTTGGTGTCATCAATTATACAAGATAGAGCACTTGCATAGCAAAAATAAGGCGAAAATTTGGTCAGATATAGGCGGCGGCCTTCTCTTTTTATAATGCAAATTTTCTATACTTGGGCCAGACGTACAGGGCGCCCTTCTGTTGCTTAGTATATCCAGACACACACGGCGCCTTTCTTTTTCCACTAATGGAGGAAAACTTTATCACGAATCAGAGTCCAGTCGTACGATTGTGCGCTTTATGTCTGTCATTTTATTGTTTTGATTTATTTATGCCTAGGCTACTTGGTTTTTTGTATGTTATGGATAATGGCAGCGATTTCAACCTCTGCAAAAGGAGGTTATGTATTCAGAGTTATGTATTCACAGATATGTAACGGTGGCAGAAGTTTTTTAGATCCAGTCATACGCGGCGCCCCATTGTTTGTATTCCCACCATGCATTTCGGTGGAACAGTTTTTTTCTGTGGAGAACTCTATCTTGTGTTTCTAGTATCTTTGGTATCATTGTAAAACATGTTCTTGTTTTGGAAACAACAAAGAAATATAAAAATATATTTTGTTTTTGTGGAGTTTAGAGCATCGTAAATTAGCATATAATTTGCATAAATTTTTGTATAAATTAGGATATGAAGGGATTTGTTCTTTATTATCCTATAAATACCCTAAAATATAGTTTTAAATATCCTTCAGGACAAAAATAAGTGCCTTTTTAAAATTCCAATCACAATTTTTAAATTTCATAGTTTTTAATTATAAATTTAATTAATTATAAATTACTTGTTTATGTATCCATCACAAAAAATGGAACTTTTATTTATCCAGTGCTTAAGAAGTGTCCTCAGAAATAACTATGTTACTAATTTATCAATTGAAGGGTATATGTATATATACAATGGTAAATTACAAAAAAAAATTTTTTCTTAATTAACTACTAGAACATTAATTAAATGTACGTCCGTCACGTCCATATTGGGTTACGTTCGTCACATACAGAATACTAGCTATAAGGTAACAACATTAGAAGGCTAAATAAAGATTTTTGTTATAGCAACACTTTCGGTCATATTACAAATATATTTTATCATACTCGTGCATTTAACTAATTTACTTTGACTTTAAATAATTAATGATATACGTGATTGTACATTTTGTTAAATTTCTATAATCTATTTACTAGTACGCTGAACTGGACACCATTTTACATATTTAAAAACTACTCTAGATGTATTTACTTTTCCACAATAATGCTCAGTTTAATGATATCAAATTAATAATAATTAAATGAAGGAACTTAATTATATATCATTAATATAATTTACATTGTTGCTATAATATTATCTAAAATTATCATAAAATATTATCATAAAATTTATTGATAAATTCAGGTTAATGTTCATAATTCATCAGTTAGTCCTATAAAAATGGTTGAGCGAATCCTACACCAGTATTATGTTTTGAAGTTAAATAATTGTTTTTTTAGGTAATTAATTAATTAATTTTGCAAATAACATGCCAATTTACTGTTTACAGCACAAGATTCATGTTTTGTAATGTGATAAAAATGTTTGTTTAGTTGAATTAGAAGTACAGTAGATGTTGGTGATTAGGTCACTGTACAAATATGAAAAAAGATGCATGTGAGATAACATTACAGAAAATTATGTGAAGGTCAAAGTTATGGGATGGGAAGTTATAGATATATGGGATTCACTGGAAGTGGCCTGGTATAGAAGACCACATTATATGACATAGTCGAACATTTTCAAAAAAGTGGGGTACCCCGAACCTTTGATAGCAGGGGACATTATTTCATCTGTGAAGAGAGAGTTGTGTTGGAAAACATATTGTTGTAACCTAAAAAAAAATATTTAAGTAAATAGACATCAGATAGTACAATGTATAATCGACGTTTTTACTAATGAAAATTTTTAAAATTGTTCTTGTTAGTTGAATATCAAAGTAATTCAATTACAGAAAAGTATATCTTGTTTTCCTATTCTTTATCATTATGTACGTCCGTCAAATTCAGAAAAGTAGTACGTCCATCATATTGTAAATGTACGTCCACTCCGTCACAAAACATTTCGGCCACTTTGAAATACAAGATTCATCGTCCAATTTTTAATAATTTCATCAATGAATAGTTTGGTTTGTCTTCTTCACATAAATTGGTGATTTTTTAATGTGAACTGAGACACTTCAGAGAAATATTTTTATTTAAATGTCCACCTCAAAAAGTCCAATTTTTTGCGCACATCTGTCACGGACAACTTTTCCGCCATTTTTTCTGCAACCACTAATGTTAGAAAAATAAAAATCTATATTTAAAGACAATAGTACTAACTGGAATGTTCCTGATGATGACATAATTAATGTCGAAATATTGAATCCCAACACGATGGCGTGTATTTCAATACTTGGAGTATGTAATATACTTTCTTATCTGAGATTAATCAGTGGACCTTTCGGTTTTTGGAATGTTTAATATTGAGATAACATGAATCTAAATATAACCTTATTACTGAATATATTTAAAGCAAGGAAGCTACCAAAATATACATCCGAATTTATGGAATTGCCCTAATTAACAATTCCATACCATTAACATACTGTAAAGTACTGTATTTTAATTGCACGGATGATACTGTACCTCAATAGCTAGCTCAAATTTGCACAAAAAGATGGCTAGGAAAATAGGTCCACACAACCATAACTATACATTGGTTATAATATATTAAGATTAAATCAAAGCCAAATTTTTGGCAAAGTCTCTGTGGAAGTTGGCCCTTATTTTGCGCAGACGGATCTATACTGTTGGCCAGATTTTTGCGTGGAGGATAATTTCCCCTGCACGGGCCTTATGTTACAGTCTGATTCTTTTATAGGTAGAGGTATTTTGTTACTATTAACTTACAGTAGTACTGTACTGTACAATATATTCTCAATTGTTTTTTTTTTTTCTTTTTTCAAGAGAGGTTCCAATTGTCTTCATACCTTGGCAAGGCACCGACACTGACATTGAACACAACCGGTTCGTTCTCATGAAGTCAAATTCAACCATGACAACACTGGTCCAGCATCCCTGTAACCCTGATATTTCAATGATCATAAGGTATTTAATAATAATAATAATAATCAATATTTACATAGTGCCTTATGTTTACAACCTTGAGGTGCTAACAACAACAACATAGTAATAGAAATAAAAATAAAATGAGCAGAGATTCAACAGATGGTGATATTCATGTGATCTCACCCACTACAGTACTGATTACCGAATGTTCGACATTACTCGTGTGTATTGGGCGTGTGTTTCATGAGTGAAAAGCTAGTGTCATTATTCTGCGAGTGCTCCAATTAACGTGTATTGCCAAAGTAACGTCGCTGTCTCAATTAGGCAATTTACGCAAATGTAATCCTCAAAAGGCCGTGTGCTGGGCTCCAGCACTTTCTACCATAGGGTAAGCCTGCAACTCCACTACCGTGCACTGCCGAGACAATGATGTTACCTTGAGTAAGAAGAAGGTGAGACCAAACCTGAAAACCACTAGAACATCCCGAATTAAAAATTTAGAAAGTGAGTTTTTTTTTTTTAAACAAGCGATTGCGGGCCAATTTCTAATCTTGTATCCCTAAAGAGAGTGGCTACAGCCTATTTTATTATCATTTGCTTATTTGCTTGTGCAAATTATTTTTGATCAACATTTTCAGCAAATCTAATAACATTACAGAACTTTAACAGTCGTTCATGCAAAAAACCTTGAACTATGCTTTGGTCTGATTTGTGGTGTTAAATCTTTATTCTTTCTTTCCTAATACAATTACAAGTAGGGATAGATAGGTATTTCCCCCAACAGAGCCTTTTAAATTGTGAATGATTTTTTTTTTTATATTTTTATAAGTTTTCCTTTTTTTTCTACTTCATGAGCATAAAATAACAGCATTAATATAGACTAAAAACATTTATATGCACTGTTATATATTTCTTTGCAGTAACTTTCTGTACCTATCCACAGATGCCTTTCACACATCTGTACAGCCGCTCCAAATTCCGTTCAATGTACTTCAGGTAAGTCTTTGTCACCTACGGTACCAATGTAATTTTGATTGACATCTCTCCACTTTATGTGTACATCACCAACTTACATCTCCGATCTGATCAAACTTTAATCAAGTACATGCACACGGTCCCTGAGGTCAACGACAAGTTTGTCAGTTCTGTTTGTACCTCCTTGCAGACTGAAAATGTATGGTGAAAGCGTCTTTGCTGTTGCTGCACTAAAGTTATGGAATGACCTACCTGTACCTATATGTGAATCACCATCTCTTACTCTTTTTAAAAAATAACTGCTGTACCTAATTCGTGAATCACCATCTCTTACTCTTTTTAAAAAATAACTGAAATCACATCTCTTTGACTCAGCTTACTCATAATTTATCGGCCATTTTATTTATTTATTTATTTTTTTTCTTGAGTGGATCATTTCCAGGTGTTGTCATGGAATGGGTTGGCACGGTGATCCTGTGAATTGGCACTTGGTCTCGCACCCACTTCGCTTGCGTGCTTCCCTTCATTGGTCTTTTTTTATTGGCGCATAGAGACAGCTGCATTATGTGCCCTATAAATCAATTGATTGATTGATTGATTGATTGATACCATATAATTTCTCATGCTTTGGGAGAACTCGTGTGGTACACATTTTTATTGGTAGGTCTACTAATTTGCATAACAAAATTATTTTTTCTTAGGACACTTTTTTTTACTCAAAATGATGGGTAGGCCCACAGTATGGTAGTTAATGTGGTTATACACTGTGCCACTATACATGGGTCTGTCTCCATAATGTTAGTAGTGAGCTTGTTTCAATCCCCCATCTGTTCTTGGACAACTGTACACACTTCTTGAAGTTCTAAATTCAAGCTTTATATTACACATGTTTGTGATTTTCCATATATGGATGTGATGATGTCATCACACCGATATGTTCAAATCAAAACTATTTGTCACTGTAAGACTTTATAGTGTGGAAAAAGTTTTAAATACAAAAAAAAACAGCAAACCATAACTAACTGCTTTGCTTAATAATTCTTTTATGCAGCAGAGTTATAGTGCCTTTGTGACAAGCGTTGCATTTGTCAAAGATGCTGTGCTATTGGTTATGAATGGTGAGCTGTTGAAGCTGGATTTAAACACTATGAGCATGGCCGTTGCTAGTGGAATATCAAATCATGTGAACCATGTCGTTACTGCCCCCTGCTGCTACATGGAAGACACCCGCTGGTGTAGAGTTAGTATTTTAATAAATTAATTGATTGATTATTACTTATTGAATTGGTTTTAGTGATTTTCTGGTAATAATATTAATTTTATAATGTTTTTATAAAAGGTATTTAATGTTTTTTTAGGCACATGATTCAATAGTATTTGCATTTAATTCGGAAATAACGAACGATAAACCAATGATCTGGTGGTCGAAAGATGGTGGACATAATTTTGTAATGGTCAACGTGACAATAGACGAAGACAGTCAGGTTAGTATATAATAATCAGTCAGGTTAGTAATAATGTTTGTAATACAACATTATCAATGTTCCTTTGCTATTTTTTTTTTCATCTGGAGTCAAAATCCTGTTAGTATTGTATTTATATTTTAAAGTGTGTGAACTTTTATGTATAACATTTTTATTATCTTTATTAAATTTATTATATTTAATAACAAGCTATAGTTCTTACCAAGTCAAGTCACAAAATGAGACTTCGGGATTGTAGCCCCAAGTCTCAAGCCCCCCAAGTTTTGTTTTTTTTTAATTGGAAAAAACTTTTTTAGTTTTTGAACCTGAAATTCGGGTATCAATAAACAGGCAACTCTACAACCAACCTATACAGTAGCTTCTAACAAGTGATTTGAATAAAACAAATTATTTTTTTTTTCTCTTTGGAACAATTTTCACTAGGGGCAGTCTGTAATATCCGGTGTGTTTCCTCATCCTTTGAAAAATGAAGCTACCCTGCTGGTGCAAATCAACTCTTCCACTACATTGATGAAGAATTTCAACTACTTAACAAGCCAGTTTAAAGACTGGTCAGAAATTATTCCATTTTCTACTCGAGGGGAGTATGTCCCTGCCAGTCAACTTAACTACAGGACAGAGAGCTTTATCTGTTGGAATGAACATACAATTTATTACAGCCCTGTGGCTGGTAAGTTGTGTGATATTTATTTTTACATATTATTTCTTTTAATATCAGGAATTTTTCAAACATGTAACAACATTTGATCATCAGCATTTTAATCTGTCCTCATTTACTGATTATTATTTTTGTTTCTTATCATTCGTTTTACACACAATTCCTACCATTATATGGTTTTGTATATAAATTTACATTTCTTTTATTCTTCATTGTGATACATATGTGAAACCAGTGCTATGCTATATTTCAGCCTCTTGTATTTCTAGGTGAATAAGTACTTGCAAATCTTTATTATTATTGTTCAATAATATTTTTTATTTGATTTTGTGGTTAAAATTTCCTCAAATAAAATCTTACTTGTTATTTTCTTTCCTATTTTTTACAATGTTATTATAGGCTCTGCTCTGCGTCCAGTACGTTTCAGTGGGCAGCAGAATAACACACACATAAACAATGGAGAAGACATTCTCATGGTAACCCCAGGTACCATCACACTTAAATATACAAATGATTGATTTATGATATGTAGTATTGTATATTATATTTATTATAATAATAATAATAAATAAAAGATAATTCTGGATTCTTATAGCGCCTCATATTGCCACAACATAGAGGCACTTAACAACAACAGAGAAGGAAATAAACCATAAAAAAATGTACAAATGTTCCATTAATAATTATATGTGAATATTATATACAGTGATACGTCCATTTTACGTACCCCTTGTTATCAATGGGTGTTCGTAAATTTAAAAACTTGTAAACTAGATCGGGTGTCAGTTTCCATACCTAGGCCTAGCTATCCCTTGCCACTGAGCGTCAATAGGCTGACGGCGGCCAGGCCTAGCACAAACCAGCAGTGCAGCAGCATGATCAACCATGCTAGAGCAAATTATTTTAATTGCTGGCATTCTTTCACTTAACTAAACATTATTTTAACTCTTATTCAAACATCTGTATGTTTTATGGACCTTTCAGTTGTGTTCTTTCTAGTTGTTAGATCACTGAATTGTGTTGTTTACTTGCATTTTGCGATCATATGTAGAATTTACGATGTCAATATTATCGCGATATCAATACTATGTTATACCTTTCTAAATACTTTTTTTTTTAATTCAAGTTTTTTAGATTAACGAAAGCAAATCTTTATCCTCAGGTTACAGTGGATACTTTCTTCTGTTAACTAATCAGCAGAGAGTATTCTTAGGTAGGGAAGATGGGATGACAGCTGAGGTTACAGAGGTCAGTTTCATTTTAATTCATTCATATTAAATAATCATATTTGAAACAAAATTTATAGTAAATAATCAAAAAAGATATATGCAGCCAGATAACGATTGGCCAGTGCAAGTGTGACCTAAATATCAGGTCATTTCAGAAGGTAGGAGTTCAGTGACTACTACTATACTACTACTTTTCTTCAATTATCTAATCCTACCAATTTTACACTTGTTGATCACAAAGCAATACATGAATTCTAGACCCTAAAGTGCACACAGAACCTTTGTATGATTATTAAAACAATGAATAATCATTCTGCCTTTTTTTTCCCCTTTGCTTTACATGCTATTGTTGGTTAGTTTCTTTTCTTCAATTTTTTTGTTTAGTTAATTAATTTACACTAAAGGCTGGCACTCTGCATTCTATATTCAGTGAAAGTCATTATATTAGTTCAGAGTCGTGATTGTCGCTATTGCTGCCTATCTAGAATCTTGAAATGGGAGGGGGTTGATGGGAGCAAGGGAGGGTGAATTTGGGGGTGGGCCCTTGATGATTAGGTAAGGGGGTGCTTGCTTGCAAAATAAGGTGATTTGAGGTGATTTTTAACTACAGTACTTGGTCTAATACCAGAGGAAGAGTACTGTGTCCTTAAAACCTAGTGTGTTTGTATATTAATTAATTGCATAAAAATCTTTTATGTTTTGTTTATTCAATCAGACAAATATGTTTAAACGTACAGTAGAACTCCATTTTGAGACACCCCTTTCCAAGGAACGCGCCTATTAGTGGACACTGTTTTGTCCCAAAAGTGTCCCTTAATAGTAGTATCTAAGATTCTGCTGGGAAATCTTACTTTTTATGTACTTTTTATTCTCTAAGCATGCTCATGTAGGCCTAGTACCTAAGATTATACTGGGAAATCTTTATTTACTTTTTATTCTACAAGCATGCTCCTGGAGCTGTCTCTTATACACATCTAGATGTGTATAAGAGACAGGCATGGAGATAGACCTGTCAATCACAATTTACCCAGAACCATGGCAACAAGCAGATTTTATTGTAAGTGACATTGTATTAAATGTATATTTTTTAGCTTGCTTTGCAGCTAGAACTCATTTATTTCATAATACTCAAAGTATGAACCATCTTACAAAATATGTGTTAAAAAATATTTTATAATAAACCTACTAAATATTATTTTATATTATTTAATAGGATAATTATAGTCATTAGAATATTATCTTCATTTTTATTTAAATAATTATGATGATGAGAATAATAATTATTAATTTCATTTCAATTTCAAGGTCAGTTAAATTTAATGTGCTGTATGATCATTGTAACCTTAAATTAACAGTTTCGAAGATGATTTACGAAAAGGCAATTCCAGCAATTAGTTAGGGGTTCTCCAAGTTTCAGCTTTCACATACAAATTTTAAAAAAATTGGAATTTTTAAAATATAAATATAATACTACAACATGAAAAAAGAAGAACAGGACAGTCATTTTAAGAACATGTTTGCATATCTCAATATATAATATTGATTTGTTATTTCCTTACATACTGTATGTTTTAGTATGTATATAACTTGTTTGTTAAAATTCATTGCTAAATAAACTTGGTTGATATAATCTTATTGTTTTTCAGATATTTGTCTCAAATCCAGATTTGTTACAGTTTTCCTCCACAATCCTCAAGCAACACACTACTAGCAGAGGAGTCACACAAATTTCACTGGTAACATGCATACTCTACTTTGTTAACTCTATTTTTTAAATATTATTATTTAATTTGTTTAACTCATTACATCTTTTTGTTCACATTTATTTTCAATTTCATTTCATTTTTCTTTTTTTTTTCACAGAGCACACATATTTCTCTGAGAGTGGACACTATCTCAGAAAGGTAATTGCGCATTGTATTTGGTCATTGGCGTATCTAAAATAGGGCAACCCTTCCAAAAGAGGCTCGCACCCTCCCCCCACCCCCCTTGGAAATTTGCTGAGCAACAAGTGTATGCCCAAGTAGTTAGAAGTCACCTCATATCAACTTACTTACCAGTTAGTGCCCCTCACTTAATTTTTTATTCCTTTGTAAGCCAGTCAATCATTTGCACATGATCCAAGTGACAAGCGACTAAATGGTCATGTGACAGTAGTAACACAATAATTGTATTAAGCATGTGCGTAGCATGCGCTCTAAAATTGTATTAATTTTATCGTAGTGTTGCAGACAACATGGCGGCCGTCCCGAGGCAACACAACGTAACTAACATTTTTGTCGATTTTCAGATACTATCATTGGGGAATTATTATATTAAACACTTCTGAATTAACTGTGATAATTTTAGGTCATATTAATGAGTGGTTTTGGAGATAGCACTACCTATCTTTAATCACAAAACTTACGATCTAGTGATTTTCACATAAAACGATGTAACTACCAGATTACGCCGCAGAACATCGTATCTACGATGCAGATACATTGTTTTGCCTCGGAATTGAATTAAAAAATTATTTTGAGCTGATAGAGTTTGGCACAGCAAAATTAACTTGTTGATGGTGTTTTCATATCAATATTCTTAACAACAACGTATGCTAGATAATGCATCTGAGGTAAAAACAGTGTATCTGCGAATATCATTAATAATTTTCCAATAACCAACGGTTGTAAATAAAATTTTACATAGAATCATAATCTCTGTAGGTATATAGTCATGCAAAATTTCAGCTTGAAAGCGAAAGTTACGTTGTTTTGCCAAGGAACGGCTGATGAGCGCTTTGGGCAACTGGTTGCTTGCAGTTGCTTGTTGTTGCATGATTGGGAGTGAAAGTCGGCATGAGCATTAGTGGCAGTTCAGTTTATTCAAGCTTAATGGTGTTGCAAGGTCAAAATGGTATTGCAAGGTCAACACAAGCTTTTTTTTAGGCTAAAACATCGCGTGAACCACTTCAGATCCTGTCAAGAATGAAATCTGAAGTATCTGAGCATAGCTGGCTGAGAATGGCAGTGTGTGGTTAAACAAAAAGAATAGAAATCGCTGATCCAGAACCACTTTCCCCATTAACTAATACATGCATAACTAACTATATTTCTTTTACAGCACAATTGATGGTATAGATGGTATGAGCATAGTTAGGATGCATTCACTTGACAGCAGCTTCAGATGTTTAGAAGACCAACACATCGTAAGTAGCACAGATCCTTGATGCTCTATGACGAAATCTCTTTATAAGGCATGTTATTAGTTCTCAATCGTGTGATGAAAGTATGATTATAATTTATAATGTATCATCTACTTATGCGGCGACATTGATTCTTCTGAAATTTATGATGTTTTGTTTGGAATTCAGGATGTCACTGAAATTGAATCCATCCTTGGATAAGATATAGTAATATAGAAATTTATACCGCGCCTTTTGCCAAGGGATACAAAGTGCTGGCGATGTTATTATTATTACCCCTGGGTCGTCAGATCCATAGTCAAACCGGCACAAAGTGCAACCTTCTCTGCTCCCTGGGGCGTATTCATAGTTGTGCATGCAAATTTAATGCTGATACAGACTAATACTTGCAATGCCACATCATCCTACCGGGTACCCATTTATACTCCTGGATGGAAAGAAGCAAATGTAAGTTAAGTGCCTTGCTCAAGGACACAAGCAATGCAACAAGCGTCGGTCACAAACTCCCGATCTCACAATCAGAAGTCCAACACTTTACACGCTGCGCCACACGCTCCTACGATATCAGATTTATGTCATTGACAAATGAATATCTACTAACCGGGCCCTGTCACACCTTGACGATTTAGACGTATGAAAAAAATGGGGAATACGCTGGCGTACGTCGAATAAGTTATTGGTAAGTTTTGTATAAGTTAAGAGCACGCTGGTGTACGTCGAAAAGTTTTGTGCATGCACAAAACTTTTCGACGTATCGCTCGCTCGTACGTTCATAAGTTGTACAGTAGGTAAGTTAAGCGATCGTTGACACACATTACTTGTAAGTTACTCAAAAGTCAAAACGTAATTCTAAACTATGAGTAACGTGCTTCGAACTTACAGTATATGTAACTTATAACGATCTTATCTCCAACGTATGTAGACGTATTTGACGTGTTCCAGACAACCACAAAACTTACTGAACGTGTTTCTAACTTACAGTTGTCATATAATGGCGTATTAGCAGCGTTTAGGGAAATAAGATTATTAAAATTGGGTGATATCAATATGGTGACATATATACTGCGATGTCTAATGCGGTTATGATTTAAATCGACGAGCACCAGCCTTTTTATAGTCTACGTCACGTCATCATCGGCGATACGCTGCGGCGCACTGTGCATAAGGTAGACTATCGCTGGACATAAGTTGTGAACGCCGGCAACGCGCTAAACATTCGTTTGTCGTTTGTGTAAGTTTTCTATAATTTATCAAAACTTTCTATATAAGTACGTTATTTATACGTCCAATACATTATGAATACACTATGAATACGCCCAAAGTTGAAAAAAGGCATTGAAAATTCACCGTATGCCAGCGTTTTAGAGAAATTTTGATACGTTTGTCATACGCTGACTAAATCGTCGAGGTGTGACAGGGCCATAATTATATAATATTTCATTGACATAGGTATAGGTTAAAGAGTGTTTAGTATATTTAATGATGATTAAACTAACTGAAAGTAAACAAAACACTATGGATGATTTTTAATTGTGAATTAGGAGTCACTTGTAATAGGCGGTTGTCCCCCAGGGAAACATATTCGGGTCAGGAAGTAAGTAAGGTCTACTCTACATCTAATTTTTTTTAGTTTTATTCCATTTTAATTTTATTTTGTTTTTTGTTTTGTTTTATTTTTTTTTTAAATAATAGTAGATAAAAATTGTATAGCACTCATATCTTTAAAAAAAAAAATTAATCAATCTTATACTATATATCTTATACTTATACCTCTTTAATACTCCTTATAGGAGAAAATCGACAAGTTCTAAGAAATAGGAAAATAAATTAAAAAGAAATATACAAAGAAAATAAAAATTAACTTAAAAAATTAAATTAAAAAAATTAAGAGAGAAGAATGTAAATAGCATTGAGATTAAATCATTTTATTAGTCATTGGTGTCGGAACAGTGCTGTTGTCTCCCAATGTCCTCCACACACTGGTATTTGCAAGATGACAGGGCAGTATGCAGTGGTCCAGTTGGGTCAACTCAAGGGGTTTAAGAAGGAAAACACAGTAGAACAATTGCTAACCTGTAGTAGACATTTTCATTTTAACTATAGGATTCACTAAGAAGTTGACATTAAACATTATGAAACAAACTCTGAAGAAAGTGGCCATCTTGATTCAATTTTTTAAACTCATTTTCAGGAAAAGCAATTTACTAAACAATAAAGTATTCTTTAACGATTGTGTAAACTTGTTTGAGATATACAGTAAATGTTTAAACAAATCATGAGTCTTTCCATGTGCTCTAGTTTATCAGACAAAAAAATGTTCAAAGATTGTGTTTTCAGTTTGACAGATTAAACATCTGATCTTGTTTGCCAGGCATTACATTTTTTTTATATTTATAGATGTATACTGCAATTATCTAACATTTTATATGTTCTCTAATATAATAATTGTTGGAGTTAATTTATTGCTTTGTAATTGTTATACATTTGTTAAATCATGTTTATTAATGTTTGTATAATTTTACATAATTTCCATGTTTCTGTTCCTACATTTTAAAGTTCAAACAGATTTCAGGCATCTTTCAGATATAACATAATTTTCTTGGACAACACCAGTCATCTAGTTTTTATTTATACACTATGTTAAATATACTTATTAAATTCTTTTATTGAAGACGAAATGCACCATGCAGTGAATGGAAAGACATGTCTTACACAATCAGGAAGTAAGTTATGATATTGTATTTCTTTTGAATTATGCAGTTAACAGTTTCTCTGTATGCAAAAATCTACATGCTTTAATTGAAATTTTCTATTCCTGGGCTTTAGATGTTTAGATTCATATTTCCTTATTTTGTCTAAAATTAAATTACAGTATACTAAATTGTTTTTGTAAGTACTTAAGCTTATTCTATAAGTTTAAATTTTATATTTACTGGTTGATTAAAACTTGTTTATGTAGTATGGTACAAATTAATCATGATAACTGTTAGGTTTTGTCTGAAATTATTGTTATCCTGATTCTACCATCACCATTGGTATTCTCACTGACATTAATAATTGAAAATTGCTCAAATTCTACAGGGATCTATATGATCCAACATTCCTTCTAGGTCGGACGAATGTTGGTGCTCAAGATAAGATGTTAACATACGACCTTGATGAGCTAGGCTGTCCATTTCTTGTCCACTATGCAGACCCTTTCAAGCCAATAATTGACCTGTAAGTAAAGTTCCTTTTGGCTTAGTACTTGTAGACTACTGGTATTATTGAATATTTTCATATTTAATAAAGCTGGGGTTTGTTTGAACAGGAACTGCCCATTACTGTCTTTAGATAATAATATTAATGAAATAGTTTCACATGTTTATGATAATGTTGATGAAGGTGATCATGACATTAATAATAATGATGATAATGATTTTTATTTGTATGTTTTATTATATCCTTACATTCTGGGATATAATATAGGTAATATTTGACATGATTAAAATAGATAATTAAAATAGTATTGTTCATTATGCTGTATTTTTCTTTCAGTTTTGATGAGGAAGAGTTTGTTGAGGAAGTTTTGGTAAACTATGTAGTATACGATATCAATGGACGGTTCACCTACACCTATACCATGACAACAGCTGAGGTAGAGTATCCAGCATTTCTATTAGAATTAAGTAAGTAAGAATTATACACATGGTACAAGATAAAGAAACTCGTACATTAGACTCTTCTATCAAATGAGAGCAGCTTAGCTTAGTCGGCTGAACTGATGGTAGCCACTGTGTGTGTGCTGAATTGTGGCGATCTCTTGGTACCTGGTTCAATTCCTATCGCTGCTCTCCTTTTAAGTCAGCCAGATGGTTGAAATGCAAGTTACGATAGCGCACCCTCTTTCGGATGAGAAGTTTAAGCCATTAGTCCTGTGTGCATTATGGCCCATGTGCACGTTAAAGAATAGTTAAATAGTATCTTTAATACGGTCCGAATTTTGATTTCGGACTCGATGTGAATGCAGTTAAACTCTGAATAAATCTAATGAATTTAGGTAGAACTGCCGTTTTGGTGGTTAAGATGCCTTTCAAAATCCCGAAATTTCCCACTTGACTGAAAATAGCCCTAGAGTTTAGTGAAGATGTAGCTTATTGGTAAAATAATACTTGCCCAATATCATGGATTCTGAATTAACTGCCAAATCGAGAATTGTTTTTTACTACTGCCAACTCTACCTTTAAGCCTCTTTATGAGACTTAGATCATCACTTCCATTCTTTTTAGGATATGAATTGAATAAATAAACAAATTAATAAATATAGGTAGAATTTTAAGAGTATCACTTTTTTTTACCAAACAAAGTGGTTTTTTCCTACAGTTAGATCTCTAATAAATAAAATAAAATAACTGGTTTTGAATTGATAAGCTGTACTACTACTTGTAATTTGTAGGCTCTTTGTGCTTCTCAAGCCCAGAATTGGATCACCATGCTACAGACTCAGGAACCTGCCAACCCCTACACAGCCTGGACAAATAAGGTAAATGCATATGAACAGCATGTAAAAAAAAATGTTTAATAAAACTATTTATCAATGTGCTTGTTTGTGTCTTTGGATGAACAACAATATGGGGCTGACTCAGGATTCTCAAACTTGAGGGATGTCAAAATCCATTGTTATCAAGAAGTCCAAACATCATAAATGGTAGAAATCGAAATTTCTGCCACCCTACATCTGTCACGGTTTTTTGTTAGCCTGGCTTTTCACTGATATTATGCAATTAACATGGTGTACTGTGAGGGTAAGCCCACCATTAGGGTGATATACAGATATAGATATAAGTATTGTGGACATAAATTACTTCTCGTCACTCACTGATACAAAAAAATAGCTAAAAAATATTTTGAAACTGTTTGTTTTGTATAACAGCAGATCTTTTGATGTGTTATGATTGGTCAAATAATCCTGCATCAAGATCACATCCTTTCTGGATGCTGTTTGCAACCCTCAGTACTCTTATTGCATCTTTCAAGAGGCCTTTTTTTTAAATGTTTATAATTTTTTGTTGAAGAATTTTGTCAACTGTTATAAAAACTCAGAAAGTCGGTTATTGGAGCCTGAAAATGCATATGAGATCATGAACAGTAGCAGCAGCAACAAAATTAAGTGGCAGCCTTACAGTGGATTGTATGTCTTTAATGTGACTGTGGTGGATCCGAACTACAGGTTTGTGAATACCAAAGTTCTCTAGATTGGGAACCTAGTGGCAGATTTGAGGGTTGGGGCCTTGGGGATAGGAGGAGAACAGCTGGGTCCTTATCGCCTGGGGCACCCCCTGTCTCGTGGTAGACTTTTTCATTGCGTGCATACAAAATCAGGGCAGTCGGACCTCTGCAATTCTATACTCTTTAAATTGTACAGGTCTCCCTCCAATTAAAGACCACTTCTGGGACTGGGGTTTCCATGTTGCATGGTCTTTAGCAGCTTTGGTCTCCTTAATTAGAATAATAAAGGTAAAAGACATTTGTGACCCAAGCTCACAAACAGGCTGTAAACTCGTCCTCAGGACAAAATAAGTTTTTGATATTATGGCATAGAACATATCATTTACTTTAAAATGACAGTTAAATGAACTCAGTCGGGTGTCTGGAAGCAACGTTATGACCGTTTGAATAATTGTCATCTTATCAACTTTCTTAAATCAAGTTTTGAGAAAAATGCTTTTGTTTTCGGCAGGTTTCTATTCATTTTTGATTGGCTCCCATTCGAAAATGGCTAAATTTTACCTCTTATAGTTGGAATTTTAAACTCAAACTTCAGGAATAGTAAGATTAATTGTTATGCTTTATTTATTACACAAAAACCCAATTCACACAAAATTCACATTCTACGCCCTATTCTGGGTATTGAGGCTTGTTTCTCAATATAGTGCCGAGCGAGTTTACAGGCCGTTTGTGAACTTGGGTCACATTTGTTAATATGGGACCACAGAAAAGTGGTCTTTAATTGGAGGGGTCTTTAATTAGAGGGAGACCTGTATAATTATGCTAGTCTGGTTTGGTGTTAAATTGTTATTTTTTGTCAACTATATTTTTATGTGTTTTTTTTGTTGTTTTTTTTCAGTTTCTGTTCTCTGAACACTCAGTTTGCTGTTGAGGTGTATGGTGCCCTGCCTGAGGCTCCATTTCCCCAAATGCGAATCATGTTAGGCTTGTGTGGATTTGGGGTTCTCTTTGTGTGGTTGATGTACACCACATACAATGTGCTGATAAAGTCAGAAGTGCAGAATAACAAAGATTAGCCCAGTGGCAGCCCTGTAAAATAGACACTGTTAGAGGGCGCTATGAAAGCCTGTTCCTTTTGTATTCATAATATTTATTCCAATTATGTGAAGATTTTTTGCGATATTTTATCCTGTATTATTATTGATTTTTTTAAATGTAATAAATTGATGTTAGAAGGTTATTATTTCTGAGGATTTTTTTTTATATCTGGCTAAACTTATACTTTTTTATTTTCAAAGAATGACACCGGAAAATGTACTCATTATATTAATTTTATTTCATCAAGTCAAGTTACAAACAATTACAAAAATACAATACAGTGCACAAACATACAGGATAAACAAAAAGCAAAATTAATTAATTGTTGTGTTGTGTGTTTTTCTGCCGATATTGATTATAAATTCTATTGAAAGTGCCCTATCATTTAAGATATTAAGTACAGTAATACTGTTATGTGAAACAGACACATTTGATAATTTCATCAATGCCAATAATGTAGCTGTAACAAGTACTTTGCAAAAAAAAAAAAAAGTAGAAAAACGAATTAGAATGGCGTTAGGACGAGCAAAACAGAAAAAAAAAGATGTGAAACATTATGTTAGTACATAGGGCAAGTGAAAATAGAGTAAACTAGAGGGCATTCTGAGAGTGCATACACCTCCACCCACATCATAATTCTCAGTATAAATTTTCTCCCGCATATTGTCCCGATTAAAAAATAAAATGGATAAAAAAAATACACAAGAATATTCTTTGGGATTTGAACCCAGGGCTGGTAGTGTGGAAAACACTCTTCTAACCACTACACCAAACACTTTTCTCATATATCACTTTGAAATTAATGGCCATATCTCTGTTTACACTTTACCGGCAAGCTCACACACACGTCCGTACAGCAGACAGTTACACTTAAGTGGTTTTTCGATCATTTTGTCCTTGACCTTTGACCCTGACCCTTCAAAATTTAGACACTTCCAGATCTTTGGTAAAGGAACATTGTGGCCAAGTTTGACAAATTTCCTATAAAAAATTTTTTTTTTAATCGTTTTTTGTTGATTGTGACCTTGATCTTTAACCCTTACCCTTCAACATTCAAATACTTTGAGATTTTTGGTCATGTAACACTGTTCGTGACCAAGTTTGTCACGTTTGTGATTGATTAAAAAAAAGTTTTTCATTGTGGCCAGTTTAATGAATTTCTGATCTATGGGCTGTAGGCTGTTCTCAACAAATATGCCGACAGAAAATTAATGGCTAAACGGGCAAAGACATATTAACCTCCTGCCAAATTTGTTGGCGGAGGTGACAATGGCAAGAGCATTATGAGTCAATATGAAAAGTTCATACACAAACATTTAAGATGAAGAATGCAGAGAAACTGGATTTTTTAGGTACAAATCAGGCCAACATTTTGGGATAGATAATAATGCATATTCAATGTTTCAATCGTTTTATTTTATTATAGTTGATTTACATTTAGGGTTAACACTTTATTGGCCTCCCCACAAACGAGCAGAATCTTGTTTTATCTGCGCGTTTTCATGTTGTCGTCGTCGCCGTCGTTGTTGATAGTAAAGTGTTTCTTACCAGGATAACAAATTGATTGGTTTCAAACTTCGAGAATGCAAAGATGGTAATAAAGCAATGGAGCTTTGTTCTTGGTATGTGTGAATATGCTGATTACTCATTTGCATAATTCGGCAGGCTTTAATAATATTTTGTTAATCAGGAATTTTCGATACTACAGAATAATTAAAGTTTGTTAAGTTTGATTGGTTTCAAAATAATTATGCAGAGTGCAAGACGGTATTAAACCGGCGGATCCTATTGTTTTTGATTGTGTCAGAATTATGCTAATTACTCATTTTGTTGTTATTAAATAATCGAAACGCATTTAATTTCGGAGAATGACATAATTTTAAAAGTATTGATTTGTTGTAAAATGAAAAAAGAAAAAACAAAAACAAAGAACGATTAGCAGAGCGAGGTTTCGATCCTCGGACCTCTGGGTTATGGGCCCAGCACGCTTCCGCTGCGCCACTCTGCTTTTCACTGAGATGACGTTCATCTGGTAAAAAAAATATTATAATTTTAACTTAAAGCGTTAAAAACATATAATTAAAAACAACAAAATGGTTAGAAGAGAGAGAGGTTTCAATCCTCGCACCTCTGTCTTTATTGCCCAGCACACGATTAAATAAAGGGAAATAATCAAAAGGAGAAAACCATCTTACCAAAATAAATTATTTCATTTCTTTTACTCGTTTA